ACTCCTTTCTCAGTAGCTCAGGCAAAACTCCCAAGAGATAATCCTCATTAGTCTAGTTGGGTCGTGCTCCAATGCCTGAACCATCACTGTGGCTGGAAAAAGAAAGTTCTGTCTCCAGGCTTGAGTGTTGTATCAGCCCTACCCAGACTAAGAAGGGAGAAGGGGTGATGTCTAAAGGAAAATCAAGATATTGCTACCTACGGAAGAGGAAGAAATTGCTGGCCAGAAAAAAAAATCCACAAAACTCCCAGACACAAGTTCTCTAAAAATAGTTTTTAGCTTTGTTAGTGTAATCTCTTCAGTGTAACTATAACGTGGCACTGAGTCAGGTAGGGTGCAGTTGCAGAAAATAAAATCTGCTCTAGCTATTTTCAGCTGAAAGGGATTTATTACAGGGTTTTAAGACACATTTCTCAAGACAAACAAAGAGACGGAGTTTCTTTTAAGGTCATAGGAAATATGCTAAGAGAAGGTTAATCTCTTTAGTGTAAAAGGGTTGGTTTTTGTGTAAATATTCCACGCTGAGTTTGGAATACCGCATTTCCTCTTTCTCCTCCTCCTAGGATGACCAGACTCTTGGTTTGACTGAGATTTTCCTGGTTTTAAAACTGAAACACTCAATAATCCAGGAGCTCCTCCATGCTGGGAAAACGAGGAAAGTTGGTCACCTACCTCATCCCACCCCCTCTAGTAGTGATATCAAATGCAATCTACTGGCTAAAGCCAATACTTGAAGCCAGCTGACCAAAGCCATATGATCTAGGAAATGAGGGGGCAGGGGAAAGATTTAAAAAACCTAAACCTCTTTAATAAAGAAGAGAATGAAGGGGAGGGAGAGTCCAAGGTGAATGGATTTCCCTATAGGGCACATTACAGGTTAGTACATGGAGTCCTGAGAGGCCCCAAGTCTCTTGAGGAGTTGGAATCCAATAGAAAAAGGAACTAAGCCCAAATGCCCATGACCTATTGGGTCTATGTTGATTGGAAGTTCCCAAGGATTGTTTCATTTTCATCCTAGCCTCTGAGTGTTTGCTTGCTAGCTGACAGGAATATTGGCTGATAATTGGGTTAAATCCCCTCTCCTTCAAGTTTTAAAATGGAAAGCCTAGAAATACATACCCATCCTTGTACAATTAAAGTTCTTTCTGATATTGACTACCAGACCCTCCCACTTTTAGTATATAACTGAAAACCTTATGAAATTCCTCCTTCTCCTTCTGCTCCAGTCCTACCCTAATGGGTATCCCATACAGGGGAACTTTGCCTCCCTTGCCCCACTCTTGGATTTGGGGGATTTCTCTCACTGTAGGTCCCATTAACACTTCAACTAAAATGGCAGGACTATGAGATTATTCCCTCAGGGCTAAGGCCCAGAAAAGAGTATGGGTCCTCCCCAATGCTTCCCCACCTTCACCTAATTTTACTGAACTCCTGAAATACTTCTTTCCCAAGGGAAGAGGCTGATTTGCTTCATCAGAATAATTCAGCAAGAGATAACCAAAATTACTCTTCATTCTGCCCATTGGGAATATGAGCTAAATATTGGTGCTTATATCCCCCAGAATTCTGCTCTTTACCTTCTCAAATTTTCTACCTTGAGTGTCTCCAGTAAAGGCCATGCTTTACTACAACTTACACACTGGTGACACAAATTATTTCCTGTCCCCATAGCTCCGCTCTTGAATTATCTTAAATTCCCCACAGGCAAAATGCTAGAGCTTGTGTACATTCTACCTCTATGTTTACTCAAATTCTCTGTGGTCCTTTCTCTCCTCAAAAGCCCCTATATTAGCTACACGATGGGAAGGACAGGTATTACATTATGCCCTTATTTTACCACATGGAAAATAAAATCCAATGCAGTAAAGTTGTTCATTTAAGACCACATATCTAGGGGCCCCTGGGTAGTTCATTGGTTGAGCATCTGCCTTTGGCTCAGGTCATGATCCTGGGTCCTGGAATCGAATGTCGCATTGGGCTCCCTGCAGGGAGTCTGCTTCTCCCTCTGCCTATGTCTCTACCTCTCTCTGTGTGTCTCTCCTGAATGGATAAATAAAATCTTTAAAAAAAAAAAAAAAAAAACACATATCCAGTCAACAGAAGAGCCAATGCAAAAAAAAAATCTTTTTTTTAAAGATTTTTAATTTATTAACTAGAGAGAGAGAGCACGAGCAGTGGAGGAGAAAGGGGCAGATGGAGAGGGAGAAGCAGACTCTCCACTGAGCAGGGAGCCCAACGTGGAGCTCGATCCTGGGACTCTGAGATCATGACCTGAGCCAAAAGCAGATGCTTAACTGACTGAGCCACCCAGGCACTCCCTCTCCCCCAAAATTAGAAACTTTAACTTCTCCTTTATCACTTCATTACTTTAGTCTGAGTTGAGGCCTGGATCATATGACGCCAAAAAAAATACCTTTTAAAAAGAAATTCAATTTTACCATCTTCTGATATGTATGACAAGGTGTTATTTTTCTGAAATACCCGCTTATTAAAAGTAACATTAACTTAAGGGGCACTTGGGTGGCTTAGTCAGTTAAGTGTCCAACTCTTGATTTATTCTCAGGTCATGATCTCAGGGTTGTGGGATCAAGCCCCAGGTGGGGCTCCAAGCTCAGGGTGGAGTCTGCTGGAAATTCTGTCCCTCTCCCTCTGTCCAATCCCCCCTCATGCTCTTTCTCTCTCTCTCTTTAAATAAATACATAAAATCTTTTTTTAAAAAAGTAAAAAATAAAATAAAAATAACATTAACTCAAATAGAAGCAATCCAATTTCACATTGTTTATATTCTATAAAATCTAATTTTATCTTACAATATTGTTAACACTGTTAATTTGCTAGGCACATTAAAATTGGACTCAGGGAAATGAAAGAGTGAGAACTATAGAGAGCTGGCTAAAATTAAGACAGAACTGGCTCATCACATGCCACCAGCGTGTTCTCCTAGATTTCTCCAGGATCAACTCTAGGCTCTTGCTTCATTCAGACATATGCAATCATATTTGGATTTATCATTGCTTAGTGTGAAAGATATTTTTTTCTTTTTCCTTTTTCATTTTTTTTTCTCCTCAAAGATACATGGATCTGTGCAGAACATCTGACATTGAAGAATGACATTTGTTCCCTACTTTAAATTGGATCAGCATACTGGTCCACAGCTAAGCATGTATTTGATCAGATCAGAGTCAGATCTGGTTTCTATGCTATAACAGTTAATTTTCATTCCATCAGAAATGCACCCACCAAATTCTAAACAGTATCTCATCATATTATAGTATAAAGTTATTTCCTACTGAAAGAATAAATGCAGATTTCTTAAATCTAAAAGGATATCAAAACATTGTATGTTGCTTTTTAAGATTTAATAAATTTTCTCCCCTTTAGAAATTTTCCAATGATTTTGTGACATAATCTGAAAATATTTACTGCAGATGGCCAAAGATGAATTTGTAAAACAATATTTTCTATGTGTTTGTGAAAAGATTTTGGAGAGAAACCTTTTCCTTGCAGGACATGACTGTAGTGATCAGTTACTTGACAACAATCACTAGGGCACAGAGAATAACCCTCCCTAACATTACTCAATGCTTGCTATCTCTGGGTCTGACCCCTACCCATTGGTCTCTAAACCTCTCTCTTTTGATAGCGGCAACAGCCACCATTCTGAATCACTTTCCTGATCTTTAGAAGATCTATTTTTCTCCTTTTACTCTGATTGTACAGGGATCAGACTGAGGCAAAATCATGAATTAGGAAATTTTGTCTCTGGGCCTCCACCTCTCCTTTTCCTCCCTTTTAAAGAACAGTTTGCTTCCTTTGCTTAAATACAGTCCACATTCATGTTTTGTTTGTTTAAAAGGGGCTGTTAACAAAAAATTGGATGTGTTGCCAGCATCTCAATTCAGGAGATTTCATGGTAAAATCTCTTGATGTTGAAAATAACAAGCTTGCATTTGCTCCTGACATTTGGCTGGAGATTAGCAGCTATCTCTCCACATGGCGCATATCTCCAGTTCACTACAAAATTCACCACATTTACTTCTCAGGTACTCGAGGCCTTAACTCCTATAGGCCATTTTTAGAGGGAGAAGAGGGGATGGGCAAAGGGAGAGAGAGGACCCTAAACAGGCTCCACGCCCAGTGCAGAGCCCCATGTGGGGCTTGATCTCATGACCCCTGACATTATGACCTGAGTCAAAATCAAGAGCCAGATACTTAACTGACTGAGCCACCCAGGGGCCTCAACTCCTATAGGCTCTTGAGTTGCTACCTCCATGGCTGATACTTAGCCAGTAAACACAAGTATGATAAAAGTAGCTATTACAGGTAGCAGCTGCTAACCATCGCAAGCCTTCTGAATGCCATTCTGGTTGCTCTACCTCCCCTACCCAGAACCCTCCAAGGTTTCCCCATAATTGCCAATTAAAGATTAAATGCTTGGTACAGCGGGGTGCCTCCAGAGCTCTAGTGTAGTTTCCCACACTTCCCTCCTGATGACGGGGCCCATATCCTAACAGATGTCCAACTTCTAATACCACCTTGACAATCTCTGTAACTGAACTATTTCTTTTTTGATTCTCAAAGAGCTAGTCTCATCTTTTTTTAAAGTGTCATCTAAAATAGGTACTTTTATTTTAAAGATTTATTTATTTATTTATTTTATTATTTTTTTATGTGAGAGAGAGAGCACAAGCAGAGGGAATAGCAGGCAGAGGGAGAAGGAGAAGTAGGCTCCCCACTGAGCAAGGAGCCTGATGCCAGTTCATCCCAGGACCCTGGGATCATGACCTGAACTGAAGGCAACTGAACCACCCAAGTGCCCCTAAAATAGGTACTTTTTAACCCAGGGCAATGCCTTCCCTGCCTTGAATCTTTTGTTATGAAACAGTATTTTTTTAGAAAAGAGAAACCATAATATACCATCAAATGATATCCAGTAGACAAGCAGCTTCACTCACTGTTATTACATTCATTTATAGATAAAACAACTGGCATCCAAACATAGCAAAATATTTTAACCAAGCATCATCCTTTAAATAAAAAAAAAAAAAAAGATTCTCAGATAAGACTGTGAGCTTGGGATAGAACAATAAATAATTGACTTGCAGTTAGGGCTTTATAATCTACAAAATGACTTTAGATATCTCCATATATTCATATTACAAATGTGTACTAGATTTTTCACTTAATTCTCAGAACTCAGCATGTTTGACAAGGGAACAAATTGTCACCCCCACTTTACACACAAAGGAACTAAGGCCCAGGAAGGTGAACTATGTACTCAGGGTCACATCATCACTGGCAGAACGGAGGCTTGAATCAAATTCTGGCTTCCAGTTCCATTTAGCATTCATTAGAAAGCTTTTCATGTCAGGAAAATTGTCCTGATTTGGTCAATGACAAAACTCAAGCTGATTTTTTTGCTGGCTATAGATTCTTACCTCAGTTGATGAAAAGATACAGGTGTAAGTTTTCTGCATCAGACTCACTACACTTTTGCCTGTAAAGCTTTATTTCCTATTATGGAAAAGATTATACTGAACTCCATTTTTTTTTCCTTTGAGAGAAGCAAAGTAAATTTTTTAAATGCCTGTAACACTCACCTTTAGCTTTATGCATTCTGTACATTTCATATGCTCATTTCAGAATAGCTTACGTTAACCTCTAGGTTACATATTTTTAAAGTTACTTGCTATATTTGGTTTAACTTTTGGTTCTAATTTTATCCTGAGTGTACCACATTTAGATCAGAACATTTAACTGTTTATATTAATAGTGTGTCTTTATCTTGCTGACATTTTCCTCGAGTGATCTATGTGTTTTTACAGAAGACATCTCATAAAAAAATTTTCAGTTATTGTAATATAAGGTATCTCTCTTAAAGTATACATTAGCTTAAATTTTTAGCTATTTTGGGCACTAAATCTTTTTAAAATGTAATCAAAGCAATATGAAATTTACCAAGATCCTAAAATTACATCACTAAATATTTCTATAAATAATCTCAAAGACTTTTGACAAGGCATTTGAACCAGTTTCTGACTTTAATATCTGACTGTTCATTTAGAATCCTTTAAAATACATGAAGTTATCTGGCTCAAAAAATTATACTAAACAAAATCAGAATTTAAATGGGATTTGAAGTCTAGCTCTTAATATCCTTATTTGAATAAAGTAGTAACCTCATGCATAAATGTCAGTAAAAATCACTTGATGCTAGTTTATATAATATTCTCATGTCAAACATTGCACTAAAACCATCTTTAAAATAATAAACACTAAGTTAATGTTGGATGTTTATATCTCACTTTTAGAGCACATAGAAGAAAAATAATAAGGCAAATAGAAATGGAAATAATTACTTACTAACTAGTCATATCACTAAATAATAAAAGTGTAATTAATAATCTTGTACCACATCATTACTCCTTTGGACAATAAAGCTGTAAGTCTAAAAGCATAAGGACACTAGAAATCTCTCCTTCACTTTTGGCGGGTATTCGATAGGCCAAGGATGAAGGAATTCAGGGTAAAACCAGTGAATAGTATACACACAAGCCCATTGCTACTCTTCTTTTGCCAAAACACTCTTTATCATAAAGAATGTTGTATAAGACACTTGATGACGAAAAACATAGAAAATTTGTGTATGGTGCTGGCAGTGTTTGCAGAAGAACTGTGGGTGAAGAAAGCAAATCAAATAAAGAATGAGCCAATTCTAGTGATAATAAATCACTGTCCCTTCCAAGAGGGAAGGCATCCAAAATAATCAACTTCCTCATGGGCAGTTGGTTAGTCCCTCTGGGGAGAGATACTATTCTGAGGGATTAGTATAGGCCACACTGTCTCCCCAGAGTTCCATCAATATCTGTTTCTCTCTTAAAATGTTACTAATTTGACATTAATAGGATGTCCAGGTTAAATAACTAAATTGGCAGTAATCAGATCGCTCTTGGTGAGGGGAAGCCCATGTTACTAAAATCATGGAAATTTCATTGCTGCCATTTTGTTCATGACCCCAGTGAGCCAGCTCTGGAGTTGGTGAGGAGAAGCTGACTGACAATGAGTCATCCTGATCATTGATCACTGAGATCCTCTTCTGTAATGGGGGAACTTCACATCCTTGACTATTCTAAGGAATCTATCCACAAATTCTTTCCCAGATCTACATTTCATCAGTCCTTCAATATTCTTCCTGAACTTCTGGCCAAGCCATTAGCCACTATCTATTAATTCCTCAAGATTTATATCTCTGTCCCTTTCTCCTTCCAAGCAAAGTAAATATTCAGATGCACTGCTTGTAATTTTTCCTATTGGAAGGGTTTCCTTCCCCAAAATCCTTCTGGGCCACCTCCAACATGTAATACAAGACTGCAGTAGTCCAATTCAGCTAGTGCCCGCTTTTGTACAAAACCACAATAAACCACACTTGAATTTTTACCTTTTCAGTCAACTGATCAAAGGGAACTCCCTGTGAGACAAGATGTGGATTGAAGGTAAAATATTAGAGCAGAAGTAGATGCCAAGATAACTGGAGACACACAGTATGCACGCCTTCAATGACTTCTTAAGTCCCGTGTCTTATGCACCATTGCCACTCCATGGAGCACTTTTGAGCAAACCCAACTTCATGTCTTGGATGAAAGAGCAGTTCTGGTCAAATATTCATGATGCATCTTAGCTGGGTATTCAGTGTCTACCAGAGACTGGCAAGTTGGGAGCAGGAACTCTGACAAAGAAGGAAAGGATTTGTTTTCCAAAATCCTAGGAGTCTTCACTGCATAAAACATTTCTCCTTGACACAAACATTTTGGGTGTCATTGGATCTGCCCAATCATGAAGCCCAAGTAGCAGAGTGTCTTATACTTAAGCTTGGACCAGCTGCAGAGCATATTTTTTACTCTGGGCCCACTCAAAACTGACAGTTTCACAGTAAGTAGGTCAACCCAGCACATTTAAATGTATTTTATGTTGTCACCAGAAGCCTCCCTTTTTCAGTGAAAAAAATGGTCCTTCAGACATAGGAGTTAGTCAACTTCACTGGTAAATATATATGCATGGGTCCATATTTGTGTATAACTGTTGTTTCATAATCTAATAAGTTTAAAGCAATTTGTATATGGTATTTAATAATTCCTTCAAAATGAGTCAACAATATATTTTAGTCTAGTTAAAGGCAAAAATCCCATGATACGCTAAATCTTAGTACATCAGCAACATGTTATTAAATACTTTGGCCATTTTCATTTATCATTTCTCTTGTTTCTATCATTAGGCACTGTTTGAAGAATGTATCATTGCATGAAACTAGCAAATGATTAATAAGACTTCAATTTGTGGAAATTAAAGAAATAAGTCAGCATGCAAACTATCATTGCCTCATCTGGTCTCAATCGTGCATGCCTAAGTTATGATATATGTATCATTTTATCTGGATTTATATTCCTCATTACTGAAAAAAATTAAAAAGTGAAAAAAACTATTCAGAAAGATTGCATATGTTAACAAATATTCTGTAAAGAGAATTCTCTATTGATTATTGATAGCACAGATTGATGCATTTATCCTTTAGGATTGAAGTCATTAGTCTTGTTAATGAAAAGGAAATAAACAGCTGGCTTTTACTCAAACCTGAAAGATCTGACAATATACAAATTAAAGATGACTTTGAAAGAGGAAAGGCCACAATCCTATTACAACTAATCATTTTTACATATTGATCTCCTGATCTCTTCTCATTATCCTCATATGCATACATGTTTTTTACATTATTCATTAATTCATTCAACAAGCATTTACTAAGTCTGCATTATTGTAAAGCACACGCACAATTTTGTCTTGTGCTTTTTGAACTGAATATGTATTATATATTTTTATCATAACCCTACCAATGTTGACTTTTTAAGCATCATGGTACTAAAATATAAATGTTATGGGGATCTAGGTTTTTCTATTTTCACCTTTACAAATGACTCTTCCTAAAAAAAAAAAAAAAAAAAAAACAAATGACTATTCCTGACAAGGCAGTATGATGTGGTGACTGAGGTTTAGGTTCTGGAACTAGACAGATCTGAGTCTAATGTCTGGATTCATCCCTTAACCATGAGAGCTGGGGAAAATTAACCTCTTCATTCTCCTCATTTGTGGCATAGTGATAATAAGAGTACTATTTCTGTCACTGTTTTGAGGATTAAATGACACATGCTTGTTTATGGAATAAATGGAATGCTTAAAACAGTGCTTACCACTAAATACATATAGCTCGTGTTGTTTTTATTCATATCTCTATATTGTAGCCTGTGAAAGTGCTTTTAATTCCTCATGGTTCATCTCACATGTTGTCTCCTTCATTAAGCTTTTCCTGATCTTTCCAATTGGATGTGCTTGTCCATCATCAGTCTGCCAAAACATTGTGTTTGTATTGTTCTTCCAGCACTTGACACTTTGTGCTTTGGTTTCAAAATGTATGTGCATTTCTCATAACCACATTGTCAGATGACAAACTCCTTGACCACATCTTGCTAAACCTTCGCTTTGACTATGGTGCTTAGTATGGCCTTGCAGATTAAATAGATGCTCAGTAAATATTTACTAAGTTGAATATATCTGTGGGTTGTGACTATTTTCTACAGGTATAAAAACAAGATTACAAACACATGATAAATTTTCAATTAAAATTATTCCAACTATCAAGTGATTTTAGTTTTTAATTGCAGATGGTCTATTCCTTTGCATACTACTTATGTCTGATTTAGAAACTATTTTCCTCTACCAAGTCCTACCTTGTCCTTGGATGATTTCACTACTTTTTAAAAATTTTACTGACCATTTGCAATTTTTAATTCAGGATAAGTTTATGTTTCTCATGGAAACCTATAAGTATTTCATCTGGCCCAGTTACAACTATTTTGGTTCCTCAAATAAGTGTTCCTTTTCTTTGGGTCTCCAAACAAATACATGTTTCCAAAAATCTTCTTCTAATATTCTGACTTACCAATTATCACTTACTTCTTTGTCAATTCAGTTATGTTATATTTTTTGCACAAAGTACCAGAATTATGTTATTCTGACTACAGATTAACCCCTCTCTGTATACAAGTATTTGTAATATTTATGATGGTGTTAATTAAACTCATGAACTAGTTTTCATGTACCTATTCTGCATCTATATGAAAGACCTAAAATGAAAAATGACTTACAGCTCTTTAATCTTGACTTGAATCCCAAAACTTTCTCTTTAAATCAACATGTTCACCATAAGAAATATCATCATAAAATAATTTAAGCGCATGAAGCAATCTGATTGGCCTCCTGCCATCAGTTTATAAGCTTAACATAATTCCATTCTTATCTCTAAATTGATGACCATGAATAATGAGTTTAAAATGAAACTATAATTGCATTGGTCATGGCTATCCTTGATGAATGAATAAATGCAAAAATTATTACACTAGAGATATACATTAATATGATCAGTATTATAATTATACAGTACAGTGATCCAGCACCTTTATGTAGTCAATGTGTAACATATAGACACGTCACTTTAGAAAATTTAATTTGGATTTTTGAAAGGATCTACAAAACTCTATGTAAGTTATTATAGAAAAACTAATAAAAATGTGTGCTCTTTGAAAACTTGTAACTCACCTAACTTCCAAATTAAAATAAAACTGATTTAATTAGAAAAAACTAATAAATAATTGTCTTTAAAATTACTAATCATCTTTCCATAATCTATCTTGTGGATGCCTTGGCTATCATAAACTTTGTTTAATCCACTCTTAGAATTAAGAGTGGAGATTATAGCATCAATAATAACACTAATCCTGAATTTTTCAAATGTCATTTAACCACCTATATAAATGATCATATGAGTTTGAGTCTTAGCTCTAATGAGATGAATTCTATTAATGGATTTCCAAAAAGGGAGCCACCTTTAGGCCTGGCCCATTGTGAATACTGAACATCTCTTGTGGTAGAAACATCTGATCACCCACTGGATCATATTTTTTTAAGGCATTATTTGTGCAAAGAATTTGGACTTCATCCTAAAAGCAATGAGAAAAGTTTTGTGAAGCTTTTCACTAAGAGTTCTGAATTCTAGAACAATCCTTCTGGTAACAGAAAAAGTCAAATTAGAAGCAGTAGAATTATTGAACCAGATGAAAAATGTTAACAGCTTGAACTAAGTAAAGCAGAATTCAGAGATATTGAGGAAAGGTAATTATCAATGACTGATTGAGTGAAGGGGATGAACAAAAAGGAGTCTAAGTCCAGGTTTCTGGCTTGGGTAACTAGATGGTAGGGCATGAGCTGTGATAAGGAATACAGGAAAATGAGTAGCTTTGTTTGTCAAGAAAGACAATAGGTTTGTGTGGAGTTTTAGATACTTGGGGAAAATGCAAATATTTACATTTTTTCCTAAACTATGGGAAAGATATAAGGGACATAAATACAAATTTTGAAGTTATCAATGCAGAGATGATAATTAAATCTATAGGAGTAGTTGAAATCTCTGAAAAGAGTGTACATAGTGGAAAAAGAAATGGTTTAGGACTTGAAGCCACCTTACCTTTGTGAGACAGTTGTAGGGAAGATTAAATGGTACAATATGTATGAAAATATTCCATATGTTACTTATTATTTTCCTCCTAAAATTCTTTTTATGGTTTACATGGTTTAAATACACATGACTTACAGAAAACATAGTTTATTACTCACATTCATATATGTATATATAAATAAAAACTATGAAAAATTTTCAGTCCTACCTGTCTCTCTTCTGGGAATAATGCCATAATAGCCCCATTTGACACTTTTTGAGTTTTAGCTTCTACCTGTAAATGCAAGTAATAATATTTGTGTTTTATAGGTGTTTTTAAACCCCATGGGGGGAAAACTTCCACATAGATTTGATAAATAATATATGATAGTGGTGACTTCCAAAAGATACAGATACAACTAGGATTCTATTTTCCAAGCATTATTTTATGTCCATACAAATTTTTATGACCATATAGCTTCTCCGTTCAGTTTGTTTTCACCAATTAAAATGAAAGTCTGAAGTGGCACAAAAATTCATTTTATTTACAGAACAGATTTATAACTTTGGAAAAGTCACCACAGCCTTAATACTTAACCCTTATAACCTAAAAAAAAAAAGAAAAAAAATATATATATATTGAAGACCTCACAGAGATGCCCAAAGAAATAAACAAACGAGGTACTTGTGAAGTTTAGTTCAAGAGCTACCAGACAACAATAGGTGGTGCTGCTGGGATGGGATACTGAATATCTATATTTGATTCAACGTGTGTCATTGGAAGCCTTTCCCGAACAAATCTATTATGCATATGAAATTAAACATTGGTTTGAAAACTGTATTAAACTCCAATCAGGATGAGCTATTGAGAGACACAAATGCTTCAAACAACTTCTTGGACTGAATGGAGATATTTCCACCAGTGGGAGCCAATTTTCATGAGTAGATTTTAATTTGAAATTGCCAAATTCCCTATTAACTTCCTACGGTCTGAGGCAGCTTGAATCTTCTGTGCTTATATCTGTCCAACAAAACCAAGTATTAACTGCTGGGTTCAAAATTTAGGTAGGTGCAAAAGACACTCAGAAATGCTCTTTCACATATCCATGTTATTATGATTTCTCTCTTTCTTACACTGAAATTTGAGTGGAAGAAGGTCTAAAATCCAGATTTCTCCTTTGCCTGAGCAGGTCTGATAGCCCAAGAGCCTTGACCTTCAGCAGTGTTATCAAATAAGATACAGGCTGTTAGCATTTGAGCCATGGGATTTGTAGCAGTTCTACACACCTGCTCTTTGTAATGGCTAAATGATTGGAAGAATCATGTAATAGACTGGAGTTGGAGGAAGGAAACTTTTAAAGAAAGGGAATAATAGACCAGCATACCCAATTTTCCTAAAACCATTTCTAACCTTGTGATCAACATAATATATTTTTCCTCATCGTGTATATCATTTGAAAATATCTGACAATCGAGGTGAAAATGTGATTATCTGCATCTCTCTTTTCGGGAGAATACCACTTGTGATTAAGAGGCCCCTGCTACATATTACCATGGCACACTTTACTTACCGAGCTTGGCACTCAATTTCCAGAGTAACATATGTAAATAATCATTTCATTCTCTAGCTTCCCTTGTAAGTCGGGTTCATCTTTATCTCCCCAGTTCTTACCACAGTGCCTACCATATGTCAGGTACACGATAAATGTTAGCTTAACTCATGAGTTCCCAGGATCCGTACATGGATGTAGTGAGACGTTCTCCAAAGAACCTGCACGTTAACTCTTGATATCCATCACTGTTTATTTGAGAGCTGGTTGGTATAATGTGACAGCAAGTTTGTATTCTCTGTAATTTATTCAAAAATTGAGTGAAATTTTCTCCCAGTGGATGACTAGAGACAGCAAATTCTGAACCTATGACTTGTGCTTTTATACTCTTTACAGAAAAAGAAACTAGAACTCCAGAGCCTGCCAGCTCTGGGAATTGAAGGCATAATGGAAATTATCTGTCCAGCCTACTATGGCATTAGACCAGTCTTAATTATAGCACAGAGATACTCCCTTACAGATGGACTATTTTAGGTTAGTAAGTAATTAACCAATAAATTCTATCCCATGCTTTGAACGTTTATTTCACATATGCATAGCATTTTGTATTTGGAATAAGGTAAAGACACATCTGGTTTTCTCTATTCACCCCAAAGTATAATGTTTGGACACTTTTTTCTCTATGAGTTTCATAAGAATGGATTACATGGCATAGATATAGTTTATGGCTGTGAGATACGTTATGAAGTCTCTTGCAAAAGCAATCTCTCTTTCTCTCTATGGGCTCCTTTTTTTAGCAAATCCGTTTATGTGAAATAATTGGGACAGATTAGTCAAAAATGCTTTCATCTTTGTTTCTTGCCTACATTGCATTTTAAAATAATTAAAACTCCAGATTGTTTCTGTTTTTCACCTAAGTTTACTGGCACCCAGCAAAGAAGGCTACACTTTGATTTTAATCATGGCCAGACAATACAAGGCCCCAGTCTCAGAAGCAAGGAGAGCAGCAAGTAGAAACCCTGCTGGGTAATTTCAAAGCAATGTACTTCCTGCTGCTAGCCCTACAGTATGATTTCTGTTCTGCCAAGGGCACCAATAGCAGGCAACTTCCAATTTGCACCTCACACATAAATTCACATTATGCCAATAGGTTTCGAAGGAAACCACAAGCGACCCAGCTCAGCCGTCAGAGGTCTGTTAACAGACCTTAAACTATGATCTATTGTGCAGCCGGCCCTGAAAGACGCATGCGGAGTCCCACTTTATAGAGACCGCACTTGCCTGACACCATTTTTCTTGAGATAATTATAAGTGTTTATTTTGGCTTTTAACAACTTTAATCACATTATTTAGCATGTTGCTGTTTTGTCATCAAGTTAAATGAACACAGAGTTCTCCCAGGAATGTCCCAGAAACTCACACATAGGAGGGTTTCCTTGAGGACAGACCCCAATGTATGAGATGGCAGTGGTTAATTACACTAAGGCTTCATGTCAGCAAAGATGTTTCCTTCCCCAGATGAGTAAGCAAACAAATTACACCAGGCAACAGAGAATTCCTAAATGAATAAGGTGTGATCTTTCTAATTGAAATAGCATGACTCTCTCTTTGTTTTGTGGTTCTGTTTTCAGTGGTTTGATGGTGAGAGGGGTTTACGAGGAATCTCACATAAAGGCACGCAGCATCTTTGATGACAAATGTTGCTGCAATTACCATGTGGAATACAGAACAGCACTTCTCTGACTTATCTAGAATTAAGTTTAAAAATAACCTTAGCTGATCACAAAGGGTTCTGTAGTCACCGTTAACGTCAAGCAACTGTTGAAACATCATGCCGTGCCAAATTGCATTTGATGGCCCAATAATAGCAGAACTATAATATGCTTCAATGAATTCTAAAAATATCTCCCCCCCCCCATGGAAACTGATTTAACAAAACCAGAAAGGACAGTTTGCCTTATTCTTTTTTTAAGATTTATTTATTTATGATAGACAGAGGAGAGAGAGAGAGAGAGAGAGAGGCAGAGACACAGGCAGAGGGAGAAGCAGGCTCCACGCCAGGAGCCCGACGTGGGACCCGATCCCAGGACTCCAGGATCGCGCCCTGGGCCAAAGGCAAGCGTCAAACCGCTGAGCCACCCAGGGATCCCCCTTTATTCTTATTCTTAAATCACCCCATTCAGTATGAGTGTGAGCCAACTAGAGTATAGGTCTAAAATTATTTAATACATATTTAATGCATCATGAAACTTATCTGCCATTTTTTGTCGTTAATATTTTTATCTGATGCTATACATTCTGTTAATAATTACACTCAAGTTTCAAAGTCAGATTGTTTCCTCTATAATTATGCATTTCTATCATTTAGTCAGTTCAACTTTCTTAAGAAACTAATGATTAACATTCTTTATTGGAATTATTTTGCTGCTCAAGGCTCTCAAGTGACATGCAAATTTTTGGAATTATTTTGCTGCCCCAGGCTCTCAAGTGACATGCAAATTTTAACTGATAGAAGATGACAAATGAGGATATGCTTTTGAGATGAACAATTTAATCAAGTAGGCATTATTTCTTTAAATCATCACATTTCTTTTTAATGAAGATCTGTAGGGCAACTTGTGATATGACCATCTTTTTCAGCCTTTATTTGACAAATCCATGAGCCCATTAATTCATAAATTAAAGCTTTGTTTGGGTGTATTCTCAATCTCAAATTTAGTAAATTTGTATCTAACAGACAACTCCCAGACTGATGAAATAAATACGGAAAAATTGAGTTTCTACTAGAAATCAGTACTTTAAATACTCTGAAGAACTAATAGATGTTCCAGAGTTCTATATATGCAAACACTATTTTAACATACGTACATAGTGATTAAAAGGGGGGTCAATATGTTTAATAGTTGAAAGCTCCAAGTCTAACAGAGCAATAGTGAGAACAAACAAATGCCAAATTAGTCGTGTATTTTAGGTTTTCTTTGCCCCGAGACAGCAACGGCCAGAAGTCCTTTATCATTTACACAAAAGTTCCAATTTTTCTTTGCTCCAGAATCTCACACATTTCATAATTAATTAAGAGACCTGGATTCTGGCCTCAGTCCCGCATTGGCAAAGTAGTACAATCTTTAATTTGCTTCTTTTTCAGTATTAAGAATTTCTTATTCTTAACTATTTTTGGATTTAAAAGCTCTTTCATTAGATTATGCTGACCAAATGAAAAAAATGACACATTAATTTTCTTACTTCATTCTGTCTAGCAGGGATATATTACAGTGAAAACTATAGAGTATAAAAACATAAAATTAAAGCCCAACTAAATAGCTCATATAGAATCTAAAAACTCCCACTCTAATCCATTTTTGCTGTGATTCACATCAAATCATAAGTTTTTCCTCTTTTTGGGTTTTTTATTTAAATTCAATCTAATTAACATACAATGTATTATTAGTTTCAGGGGTAAAATTTTATGATTTATCAGTTGCATATAACACCCAGCGCTCATGACATCACACAACCTTCTTAATGCCCATCATCCAATTAGCCCTTCCCTCTAACCCTCTCCCCTCCAACAACCCTCAGTTTATTTCCTACAGGTAAGAATCTGCTATGGTTTGCCACCCTTTCAGCTTTTATCTTATTTTATTTTTCCTTCCCTTCCCCTATATTCATCTCTTTTATTTCTTAAACTCTGCATATGAGTGAAATCATATGGTATTTGTCTTTCTCTGACTGACTTATTTCGCTC